ATACCATTGGAACTTCTAGTACAGTAGTAGTAGTAGTGCAGTAGGTAATCATGGGACTTTATGTCCCTGAAATTAATTGCTTTCTAATAAAACTTAAAGGATTCTCCTTTATAGGAATGAATTACTTCCCAGATCCTTGCCTTTCTTTCTCTTCCTCCCTTCCTCCCTTATTTCTTTTTTCTTCTCTCCCTCCCTTTTTTCCTCCCTCCCTCTCTTTTTTCCTCCCTCCCTCCCTTTTTTCCTTTCTTCCTTCCTTTTATTAAGAAGAAAGGAGGGAAAACGATGAGAGAGACCAAGGAGGACATAGAAATATTGTTCCCTTGGGGATCAGAGTGAAGTGATCAGGGAAGGGAAGACTCAAGATAAATTAGGGGCTTGGTCTGGTATTGAGGGTATGGGAACAGAAAGGTAGTTGGTAATAGGAAGAACCCCAGATCTGGACCTGTGATACACATCGCAGTGAGGCTTAGTAGAAAAGATGGAGACAATAGCACAGGAAAGGAGAGTTGACAGCCAAACAGGACTGGGTTCAATCTCTTCTCCACCTCCAATTAGCTTTGTGCCCTTGAGCAAGTTGGCTTTCAGATTGCTATCTTCTCATTAGGAAACTTGGAATAATTTACCCACTAAAGATTATTATAGGGTGGGAGCACCCAGAGTGGTACTTGTACATGGGAGCGATTCAAAAAATAATCCAATAATTATTTAAAGTAGTCATAGGTCAAAGAGAAATTCCATATGGGGGATAAGCAATAAACGTACTGTTGGGGGTCTGAAAATGATACCCAAGAATGAAAACCTCAGAAGCAGCCTCCAGAGCAAAGTCTCTCTCTGACCTTCTCCTGCCCGTCTGTCTCTCCTGCTCATTCTTTCCTGAGCCAGGTCATAGAAGCTAGAACTCCTTTTCCCCAAAGGTAGCCGTAAAGTCAAAAATTATTATTCTAACATTCCCCTACTTTTAGTGTAACACCTGGCCATAAAGAAATGGAATGACATCCTTCATTCTGGAGTGGTCCTACCCCATACCCAGGAGAAAGGAATGCCGTATAGAGAAGTCAAGAAGAATCTGAACTGACAAAACTTGCTGGGTTTTCCACCCAGTCTATTTCCATTAACGCATATTCCTTTTTCCCAGTCACATTTCTACATGGCTCTCCCTGTGTCATAGAACCTAAGTATAAAAATGGACAGTGTCTTGTATATCTTTGGGTCTTCATTCTGAAGGTTTCTGTGTCATGTAAATCTATGATCAAATGAATTTTTTGTGCTTTTCTCTTGTTAACCTGTCTTTGGTTATAGGGGTATTGGCCATGACATTTATCATGAGGAGGAAAGGGGTCACTGTCCTCTCTACCTTTATAACACTATCCAGGTAAATTCTAGGCAGAGTGGAGAAACAGACCATTTTGGCCTTTGGCAGCACTTTTGTGTTTCATGACACACTTCCCAGTGAATTATTCTGTGAGCCAGCTCTGTAAGCCAGCTCTACTCTGGTCCCCTTTCTGAATGTCTCCTTTGTATCCCATTCTCTCTTTATTTTCCTCTTAGAAATAATCTGCTACTAGCAGTATGCCGGTGTCAAGGGCCAGTTACATTCATTTATATTAAAGAAGTGGAAGCTTAAAAGAGGAGCCTAAAGTGGGTATTGACTAACACAAAGGATGTACATCATTAGTAATAGAAATTTTAAGAACCACTTGAGGAAGCAGATGAAGAATAACTTCTCTCTCCAAAATTACCTGTGACTGGAGGTTTATCACCTAAGTTCCTCAGAACTATTATGGTTGGGCTTTATGAGTATAGTGAGGAGGTTCTCAAGATCATGATATTTTATATAAAATTTTGTGTGCATGTATACCTTTCTGATGGAGAGGGTCTACAGTTTTCATAAGATTCCCAAAGGGATGTTTGACTTCCCAAATTTTAAGAACTATGGATTCATATACTCTCTAGAGTATAAAATAATGGCAACACTTGCATTCTAGTGCTTTGCTACTTTGTGTGGTTCTCAGAGAGCATCAGGAGCAACACCTGGGGATATGAGAAATGCAGAGTCTCAGGTTTACATTGAATGAGAATCTGCATTTTCACATGGTGAGTTGTGTGCATGTTGAAATTTGAGAAGCCGCGTTCCCATAGTCAAGAGATCAGGCCCTGTATTCTGAATTTGTACTCTGGCTCTGCCAAATACTAGTGTCCTAAGCTTCGATTTATAATATTGCATGTCATAACACCAAACTTAAGAGTTAATCTCAGAACTTCAGACCTGAGTTTGACAATTACTTGCTGACTTTGGCAAATCATTGAAACTGTGTGGATGAATCTCTATTTCTTTACCTATGAGATATAGAAGTAGATTAGCTCTTTTTCAGCTCTCAATTCTGGAGTTTACCTTTTGTTTCCCACACAGATGATTTGTAATGGCCTCTCATCTATTGAAATGCTTTTTGTCAACATTCACCAAATGTCTCTTAAACGCTGAAAGGCACACTGATTTCTTTCTTCTTTGAAATTCTGTTATACATTTTGTATCATTCAATTTATCACTTTATGATGTGCTAAAATTGTCTCTAATTGTTTGATTTACATGTTTTTTCTTCCAAGTTTGGGGCCATATAATTGAAGTCCAGGCTGCGTCTAGTCTATTTCTTTCCTTGTTATCTTTATCATAGCACAGAACACGTTGTAGATGCCCAATACATCTTTGAGGATTGAATGCCATGTTTTGAGAGACGATATCTGTAAATGACACATTGAATAGTCTCAACTTCATTAATTTAGTTATAAATTGGTTGTGTTAAGTCATTTATTTCCTAGGGAGATAGCTATGAAATTTTCTAAATCAAGCTGTTTACATATCAATATGAGCTCTTGAATGAATAAATCCTAGTTACATTTAGAGACAGCCCAATTGAATAGGTAAGAGGAAAAGGAATGCATTGAGCTATTTTCCTGCTTCTCAGAACTTTCTTGCCTTTAGTAATTGGAAATGTATAAATACCTATGTGTGTGTGTGTACATATATATATACACACATACACATATTACAAATATATGTGTGTATATATACTCTATATGTATATGTATACACACACACACACACACTCACAGCAAATTAAGTTATCATACCAAAATAGTAAAACTGGATACTGTTTTTAACTCTTTAATAAGGGATGTTCTTTTTATGAAGCAGAAATTTATTCTCATAGTTATGGAGGCTGGGAGTCAAAGATTAAGGCACTGTCAGGTTTGCTGTCTGGTGGGGACCTACTTTCTGCTTCCTAGACAGTGCCTTCCACCTGTGCCCTCACATAGCGGAAGGGGCAGACAAGCTTCCTTGGACCTCCTTTATAAGGGCATACGTCCCATTCTTGAATGTTCTACTCTCCTGACCTAATTACCTTTCAAAATTTCCACCTCCTTGTATCATCATCTTGTGGGTGAAGGTTTCAACATATGAATTAGGTGGTTGGGGGTTGGGGAGAAGGCCAGAAATACAAGCATTCAGACCATAGCAGTGCCCATTAAGAACTGTGAAGGGTCTAAACTTTTATGTTATTTTCTAGTTACCTATTAACAAGTTTGCTTACCATTTCCAGCATAATGAGCAATACGAATATTGTGATGCTTACTTGGAGAGAGAAACGTTAAAAATCTTACAATGACAGAGGACATAAGACTTCCATGTCAGAGAGAAAAAAAGACTATTATTCTCAGGAGAGCAACGGCATAAATATCATCACATTTATTTCAGTTCCCCTGGCCATCAAGTCCACAGAGGCAATGCAGATGGGCCCAGACAAATCCCTGCACAGGCACTGTATTCCATTACAGTAAAGGAACCCCAAACCTAAGGAATCTGAATCTTTTATGTTGGACAGAAGGCATGCCTAAGTTTTGCTCCAGAGGAAGACATTATCTTTATTATTCTGGGCAAAGGGAGATGCTATCTTTACATTCTATGGCCGTTTGCTATACAAATAAAAACTCTTTGAAAAGATAATCCAGAACAAAGGGCAGTGAGTTCTTAGCTTCACAAGAAGTGCAGAAATGCTAGCAATCCATTGAGAATTGACTCCCCAGAATACGTTACCCCTGATTCTACGTAATAAATTGATCACAAATATTTCTGAGCCATTCTACTAAAAAAAACTTCCCTTCAGCTTTATAAAGCAACAGCATTCCTCTTTGTGTGGGGCAGGAATTTGATCTTGAGGTCAAATCAGAAATCCTCCAACTGTGGGACACAAATAATTGAGCACAATGCCAAAGAGAACTTCTGCCTAACCACAGAGGGCATGGTGGTTTCAAGTTGATCAAAGAGCAGCTATGGCTATTCATTGGCCTTCTGGAGCCTGTAGGTGTGAGAGTAATGGCAAGGTTCTCCTAACAAAAGGTAGTAGGATCTTTATCCTTGCTTGGAAAGTGTGAATTTGCTCCACAATGTCTGGCTCTGGCTCATCAGGAATGCAGAAGAGCCACTTTGACCTGAGCCTGTAGCTTTGTTTGTGAATCTTGGCAAGGAGTTGAGTCCTGGCCATTTCACTCTCCAACAGTTTAGATCAGTCAAAATTTAAATAAACCACTGTTTAGGCATGAGCTGGACCTTTGGGGAGCAGCAGATGGTTGATAAGCTCCTGCTTGTCCCAGACCCAGGAGGAGGAACATAGGAATGTGGCCAATTACTCATCTTACAGCTTCAGAACCCCATATGATATTTGTGATTAACATTGTTTCGTGCCATGTGTTCCAATTTTTAAAACTTCAAGATATCTCTAGATTGGGGGCAAAGTCAGAATGTAGAATTTCCTGTAACTTCTCAATGGAATTGTTTTGTGGGAGGTGGGAGAAGGGGTTTGTGAGGTGTTTTTTAAGTGTCAGTTTGTATCATCATAGTTTGAGTTTAATTTTTAACTTTACATGTTAAAACAGCTCCATTTTACTAATATCTTGTGAAGAATCAACTAAAGATTGTTTTTCTCTTTTTAATTTTTTATTAGTTACTTACAATGCATCTTTAGATGCTATCATTTCCAGTACAACCAGCAATACAAATAGCGTGGTGCTAGCTTGGAGAGAGAAATCAAAAAAGCATCTTCATATGACATCCTTCAACATTGCCCAGGGCATTCATGCTTTTGATTATCACGCTCGGCTCAATTTAATTGGTAGGTAAAATAAATCTTGATAACTATGAGGGTCTTATAAATAGTCTGGGGTGCATTTGTATGCATGGAGCCTTCTCCACCTTGTTGTTTTATTGCTAGAGAGACCATCTTGAGCAGCTCACATTTTATTGCCTGAGAATGTCTGATAATGATGCATTATGACGGGCAGTGTATATGAACTACATTGGGGTAAAAATATGAGAAAGTGCCCAATGCTTTAGTGAGTCTTTTTTATTACAATTGGTGAAGGGTGTAAAATGATACAGAGAAGGAAGACAGTTTGTGCAGCATCTGCCATTCTGCCATCTTCCTAACACCACCAAATGCTCCACCCAAACAAATGCATTTTTTCATTGCTACTACTACAGCTACCACTACCAGCGCGCGCGCACACACACACACACACACACACACATCCATACACAAGGGAACTGCAAAATATAGACTGTTTTTCAATTACCTTTCAGAATACAATCTCTAATGATTTTTGAAAATGTTCAGATTATCCTAGGTTTGTTTACTAGAGGGGAGTTCTTTCGATGTAAAAAAGAAGTATATTTTAGCTGAGGAAATATAAAGTTTCTCAGGCATTAACTATTTAAATTAAAAATTTAGATATTCTGAAAGCTGATAATTTGATATACATATTGATATTAGTCCAAACATAAAAATGAAGTATAGATGTATTATTGAAAAATTAATAGGGTAGTTACAGAGCATGCACATGGTCTACAGAATGGGTCATATTAACTCACATTCAATAGTTGTCATTCATACAAAGAGTATTAATATTAGCTAAGGAGCTGTGTCCATAAAATTCCCAAAATAATACCTGACAATCACAGTAACAGATACCTTGAATATGAATTCATGAATATGCCAACATCAAATCTTCAAGGAGTACTGTAGATTTATTAGAGAAGGATAGAGGAGTTGGTGACTCATTTTGGCAAGGACTCAAATAGCAACTATTTAATACATTGATTGGTTAATCATTTCAATCTCTGTAGAATAATAATTACTTTGTACCTGCTATAGTGCTGGAAAAAATAAGGATGATTAAGTTCAGCACCACAACTGGCCCTAAACTAGGAAGCAACAAAGAGTATTGTGTTTTATTGAATAGATACATTTCCTGCTCTTGAAGAGCTCCCTAAATATGACTGATTGATGTTCAAAAATATCTTATTCCATTAATAAAGCAAGTCAAAAGTATATTTGTGCTGCTTGTTTGCTTGCACGTACAGTCGTGCATTGCTTAATGATGGGGATAGAAAGGCATCATTAGGTGATTTTCCATTGTGTGAACATCACAGAGTGTACTTACACAAAGAGATGGTGTAGCCTACTACACAGCTAAGCTATATGCTATAGCCTATTGCTCCTAGGCTACAAACTTCTATAGCATGTGACTTACTAAACACTGTAGACAATTGTAACACAATGGTATTTATGTATCTAAACATATAAAAGGTACAGTAAAAATACCATATTATAGTCTCATGGGACCATATTCGTATATGCTGTATGTTGTTGACTGAAATGTTATGAAATGCATGACTGTACTTGATTATTTGATAATTTGTCTTTTTATACTTTTTAATTACTTTGTGAACTTTCAACATTGTTTTCTTTCTTTCTTACACCTGGGATAACTTTAACACTGCCTACATTTCTAGGTGTAGCTGGCTGAAGAGGGGAAATATCAGGATTAGAAAGAAGGATTCTGTCCCCTCCTGGTTGGGCTGTTGGTTGGTTTCTAAATGGGACTATATGTTTTCTTTCACCTCATACATAGCCTTTTCCCCTTCATGAATTTTTTCTTCCCTACTCCCTCCATTTCAACTCTTTCTATTGACAGAACTCATGCCCTATTAGCCTGGTCTAGTTAGACAACGGCAAAACAGGGTGCATTAGTCAACCTACAGTTGACATTTATCAAGCTACAGTTATACGGTAAACTCATTTTCACAAAGAAAATGCTGTGGGCTATTTATGCTACTAAACTTTTTTTTCTTTCTAATTCTGATTAGCAACTGCTGGCATTAACAATAAAGTTTGCCTTTGGAATCCCTATGTTGTCTCTAAACCAGTGGGTGTCCTTTGGGGCCACTCAGCCAGTGTAATAGCCGTCCAATTCTTTGTGGAAAGAAAACAACTTTTCAGCTTCTCCAAGGATAAAGTAAGTAACATTGTTCTTTTAATTAATTTAGTTTTGCTTCCCTGGTTCCTACCCAAATCAACTCTGGGATCTGAATTTCTCTGAGAGATAGTGTCAGTTTTTAAAATAGACTGGCTAGCTACTTATGTTTTTGGAAATCTATATTTGGAAAAGGTGTTGGTTGATGATTACTTAACAGTAGTCCTAGACAACTGGGCAAAGTATTTCATTAAATTTTTTCAAATCATGTACTCAGGGATTTAATCTTTATTGGACTCTCAATATGTCACACCTTGACAGCTTCCAATGTTCTCACAAATTCAACAGAAAAAACAGAAAATGAAATGTTGCTTTGATAAGATAGTGGCCAGGCATAGTCAATTAGATATTATTGCTTTGGTATTGAAGAGACTCAGTTAATTAGAAATTGAAGTTAATCTGAAGAATATCAAACACATTAAGAACCTTTTAATTAAATATATCAGTTCATCTCTGTTTTATGATATTGATGGGATATTTTAAATATGGTGGAGAAAATATGGCACTGGAGTCATAGAGTCCAGGTTGAATCCTGACAACACTATTTATCACTTATATCCACTTAGGCAAATTTCTCCTTCTCTGAGTCTTGACTTTTGTTCCTTGGTAAAATTTCAATCTTATTTAATGCCCAACTTAAAGATCCAGTTAACATGATAGATTTCAAGATAGTTGGTTATGAAGAGGAGGGTGCATATAAAGTGATTGATGATAGTCTTTGAGACTCTTTGAGTGAATATAAGTTTTTGGTGTATTCGAAAATATATGCAAACATAAGTTACATAGAAATTCATCTTCCACTCCTTAGCCACACTCCATAAATTCTACCAAAAATTCTACCAAAATTAACCACCATAAATTCTACCAAACTTACTTATTTTACTGTATTACCTAGCATGTAAACTTTTTCTTGAACTTCAACAATCAACTGCCAATTCCTGTTGATTTGATCATCAAAATATGTTGATCAGTTTCACCTCTCCATCTCAGCTGCTACTGCTATAATGCAAAATCTTATCTTCTTTTTCCCAAAATACTGCAAAGGTTTTCTAACATATTTCTTTATTTTCGGACTGATCTGACTCTACTCTGCCCTCCATTCTGCTAATTTGCAAGAAGCTTGCAGAACAATTTTTCAGTCTTTCATCTCTGCCCTCTATGTAAATATGAACTGCAAAATTCTTAAACTTTTATACAAAGCTCCCCCACCTACTAGTCCCACTTCACTTCCCACTTTTCTCTTTCAAATTCATTTAATGCTCCATATTGATATGATTGATAATAATCATATCAAATTATTATCTTTTCTCACCATGCAGTTTCATGGCTTTGCAACGTGCTCTTCCTTCTGCCTTCAATTCCCTGTCTTCTATTAATTGGCAGATGCCTATGTATCCTCCACATTTTAGACTTTTTGAAGTCTCTTACGCAGACATAGGTGTTTCTTTCTGTGTGCTCCTGTTGCATTTGTGTGTCTCTCATTACAGCATGTATCATGCTGTACTGATATTGTTAGTTTGCTTTCTTAAGACGCATCAGTATTGAAAATGTAAAATAGGGATGGAGCAAGATTATGGAATAGAAAGCCCCACCAAAGGTACCCCCCTTAGAATTTAACAACTATCTCCACATACACAAAAACACCTTCATAAGAACCAAAAAAATCAGGTGAGCACTCACAGTGCCTGGTTTTAACAAAGAATCACCGAAGAGGGTAGGAAATACAGTCTCAAATTACCAATGCCACCCCTTCCCTTTTCCCACCACAGTGTCTGTGTGACATGGACCACAAGGACTGCAACTCCTAGGTGAGTTGTAGTGCCTGAGAAGGGCTAAAAGCCAGTAGACTTGGGGGAAGGGCGGGGGGACATGACTTACTGAGATACCAGCCAGGGCAGCTAAAGGAGTGCTTGTACCACCACTCCCCCAACCCCAGGCAGCACAATTCACAGCTTCAAAAGAGACCCCTTCCTTCCACTTGAGGAGAGGAAAGTAATTCGTAAAGAGGACTTTTGTCTTGCAACTTGGACACCAGCACAGTCACAATAAGATAGGTCCCTGGTTAGAATTTTGAGGTGCCCCCTTCCAGGCCCTAGCTCCCAGATAACATTTCTAGACATATCCTGGGCCAGAAGGGAACCCGCTACTGTAAGGAAAGGACCTAGTCCTGGAAGGACCCATCACTTGTTAACTAAAGAGTCCTTGAGCTCTAAATAACCACAACAGGGATACCCAGATAGTACACCATGGAACTTGGATGAGACTGAGATGTGTTGACTTCAGGTAAGACATGGAATATTACTATCTGTGGTGGCTACAGTGAGCCACTTCTATTTGAGAAAAGCAGAAGTAAAGGTGATTTTTGTCTAGCACCTTAGGTACCAGATCAGTCATAGCGAGATAGAGCACCAAGCAGGTCCATGATTCTAGCGTCGTCCCTTGGATGGCCCTGAGCCATAGCGGAGCCCACTGCCCTGAAGGGTGAGTCTCAGGCTTGGCAGACTTCACCACAAGCTGACTGAAGAGCCCTTAAGCCTTAAGTGAACAATGGCAGTAGCGTAGCAGTTCTCCCCATGGGACAGTGGTGGTGATGGTCATGAAATGAGGCTCCTCTGCCTGTGAAAATGGGAGGGAAGAGTGGGAAGAACTTAATTTTGTGGTTTGAGTGCCAGTTCAGCCATAGTAAAATAGAACACCAAGTAGATTTCTTAGGTTTTTGACTATAGCCCTGGTTCCTGGACAGCATCTCTGGACCTGCCGGGAACCTGAGGGAACTAACTACCCTGAAGGGAAGGACACAAGGCTGTCTGCTTAACCACCTGCTGGCCATAGGGCCCCAAAGCCTTGGGAAAACATAGGTGGTAGCCAGGTAGTGGTTACAGCAGGTCTTTGGCAAGACCCAGTGCTGTGCTGGCTTCATATCTGACCCAGCATAGTCTCAGTGGTGATGGCCATATAAGTGCCTATGTCACTCCACCCTCAACCCAAAGTGGCTCAGAATAGAGAGAGAGAGAGAGACTCTATTTGTTTGGTAGAAAGTAAGGTGAGAGAACAAGAGCCTGTCTAGTAATCTGGACACTTCTGGATTTCATGCAAGATTCCAAACTGGACCTTTATGAGTCTGCAAGAACTATAGCATTACTGGGCTTGGGGTGCTCCCTAATGAAGATACAGATATATCACAACACTCAAGTCCTTTCAATATCTGGAAAGCCTCTCAAAAAAGAATGGTGTATTAGTCCATTTTCACACTGCTACAAAGAACTACCTGAGACCGGGTAATTTATAAAGAAAAGAAGTTAATTGATTCATGTTTCCACATGGCTGGGGAGCCCTCAGGAAGCTTACGATCATGGTGGAAGGTGAAAGGGAAGCAAGCCACATCTTCCATGGCAGCAGGAGAAAAAGAGTGGGGTGGGGGAACCACCATGCACTTTTAAACAATAAGATCTCATGAGAACTCACTTACATCATGAGAACAGCATGAGGAAACTACCCCAATGATCCAATCACCTCCCTACCTTGACACATGGGGATTACAATTTGAGATGAGATTTGGGTGGGGACACAGAGCCAAATCACATCATTCCACCCTGGCTCTTCCCAAACCTTATGTCCTTCTCACATTTCTTTTTTCTTTTCTTTTCTTTTTTTTTTCGGTGGGGGTGATGGAGTCTTGCTCTGTCACCAGGCTGGAGTGCAGTGGTGTGATCTTGACTCACTGCAAACTCTGCCTCCCAGGTTCAAGAAATTCTCCTACCTCAGTCTGCAGAGTATCTGGGACTACAGGCACCTGCCACCATGCCCAGCTAATTTTTTGTATTTTTAGTAAAGATGGGGTTCACCATGTTAGCCAAGATGGTCTCGATCTCCTGACCTTGTGATCTGCCCGCCTCACCTCCCAAAGTGCTGGCAGCCACTGTCCGCAGCCCAACCTTCTCACATTTCAAAACACAATCATGCCTTTCCAATGGTCCCCCAAAGTCTTAACTCATTCCAATATTAACCCAAAAGCCTAAGTCCAAAGTCTTATCTGAGACAAGGCAAGTCCTTTCTGCCTATGAACCTGCAAAAGCTAAAGCAATTTAGCAACTTCCAAGATACAATGGGGATACAGGCATTGAGTAAACGTTACCATTCTAACAGGGAGAAGTGGGCCACAACAAAGGAGCTACAGGCCCCATGCAAGTCCAAAACCCAACAAGACAGTCACTGAACCTTAAAGTTCCAAAATTTCCTTTTACTCTATGTCTCACATACAGGACATGCTAAAGCAAGGGGTGGGCTCCCTGACCTTGGGCAGATTTGCTCCTGTGGCTCTGCAGGGTACAGTCCTTGTGGCTGTTTTACAAGCTGGTGTTGAGTGTGTGTGGCTTTTTCAGGTTCATGACGCACCTGAAAGGGTACATTCACCCTTCTGGGGTCTAGAGGATGGTGACCTTCTTCTCACAGCTCTACTAGTCAGTGCCCCAGAGGGAGTGTCTGTGGGAGCTCCAACCCCACATTTCTCCTCTGAACTGCCTTAGTGGAGGTTTTTTATGAGGGCTCCCTGCACCCAACTTTTGCCTGGACATCCAGGCATTTTTGTTCATCCTCTGAAATCTATGCAGAGGCTCCCAAAGCTCAATTCTTGTTTTCTGTATGCCTACAGGCTCAACACCATGTGGAAGCTGCCAATGCTTGGAGCTTGCACCCTTTGAAGTCACAGCCCTAGCTGTACCTTGGCCCCTTTTAGCCAAGGCTAGAGCTAGAGCAGCTGGGATGCAGGGTACCATTCCTTGAGGCTGCACAGAGGCAGCAGGACCCTGGGCCAGGTCCATGAAACCATTTTTCCCTCCTAGGACTTTGGGCCTGTGACGAAGATCTGTGAAATGCCCTGAAGACATTTTCCCCATTGTCTTGGCTATTAACATTTGGCTCCTTGTTACTTATGTAAATTTCTGCAGCCAGCTTGATTTTTCCCTAAAAAATGGATTTTGCTT